AGGTAACTCGCCGCAGCGCCAAGTCGCCGACCAAGATAGGCGACTGCTCCTGCTGCAAACAAAATGATATCGTCAACCGCGTTAAACACTCGGATACTCGGCCCGTGCATAACCATAGCGTCGACAGGGGCAAAGAGGAACAGCTTCATGAGGCTGGTCGCAAACGCGCAACCAGCGATTGCACCCTGGCCCGCGTCGATCACTCCGGAGATCATCTGTCCCATCTGGAGCAACCTGGGGGCCTGGTACATATAGAGCAACAGCCTGCATTAACTATGGGAAACCCATGCCAAACGGCCACGCGGGCTAGGAGAAAGTGGAGCACCAATGTTTTCGTAAGCTTTAGTACGGTCAATCAGGAGAGCCCCAGTGCCAATCCCAACCAACCTGCCAAACTCAATGGCTTGCGCTTGCTCCCAGACCGCGCGCTCGCGGCTCTTGCCAACAGCTCCGTAATGGTATCCTCTGCCTTGCCGGGCCTCCCGCGCGACAGCCTCTTTTCGCGTGCCTTGCCCAAAGACCCTGCAGATTCCTGGCGGAAGGCCTATGGGTCTGAACCCTCCGTCAGGCTTAGGGAGGAGCGCCGTGAACATCAGCGCGAGCTGAATCGGCACTCGCCCTAGGGACTCGCACTAACATCAGATCGCACACAAGGCTTCAATGCAGTCATCCGGAACCTCGACAAGTCCCGCGGGTGGATGGTGTCCGACCCAAGCGCCGCGCGCCTCTTAACTAGCAGCCGAACGCGTCGCGGTGGGAGTGCGCCTGGCTGGGGCAGCAGCGCACTCATCACCGACACTCCTGAGCTCCCGAATCTTGGCGCCCAGCAAGGGAGCGGCTTCAGGCTAGCCCGAGGCGCCAGCTGGCGGGGCCCGCGCATCTTCCCAAGCAGCCTGCATCTGGCCCATGAGGGCCCCAGGGCCAGGAGGGGGAGTGCCAGGTTTCAAAGGCGCAGGTTGCCAGCCAACACAGCCCTTGCTGTACTTGCGGGCTGCGCCACCCCCCCCCCCCTTCCCCCCTTCATTGCTGGCGGCCTCTTGGACCCAGTCCCGCCATCTACCCCCTCGGACACTTTTGCGCCGCCGTTCGCGGCGCTCAGCCATCTTGCACGCTCCCCCCCTGCAAGCCGCGAGGCCCAGCTCGGTGCAGGCGAAAAAAGCGTCTTCGAACAGAAGCTTCCAGCTCAGCTATCCGACATCGTTCCTAAGGCTGCAGGGTCCTTTGAAAATTTTGCTGACGAGACGTTGCGACTCGGGCGAGCCCCGGGCGCTTTCCTTGGCCCTCAGGTGGCCGGGCTCGCGAAGCCAAATACTGACTTTCCGCCGGCCCCGAGACAAAGGGCACCCCGGGGGAAAGGCGCCCCCCGACGTGCGAAGCCCTGGGGCCCTCTTGAGTTGCTTGGGCTTTCCCCGTCCAACGTAGGCCTCATCTGGCACCAGATAAAAGCCTCATCTGGCATCAGATCAGAGCACGTGTCGAGAAATTGAAAGTCCCCCTGGTCTTCCGCCATCTCAAAGATGGCCGTGTAGTCTGGCGGCCTGGGCCTAGGTCCCTGGGGGGCTTCCAAAGGAAAGGGCCGAGGCCGCGGGAGAATCCAAACCTGATCGACGCGAGGGTTCTCATGCAGCGTGGCCCCGATGGGCCAGTGGGGGCTGGTAGTGGCCACATTATTTCTGCCTATGTCCTTGAGCGTCGGCGCAAGAGCCGCCGAGCAGACAGGGTAGCCGACGATCTTCCAACGCCTGGCAACTGAGCGACGCGTGCAAACGGCAAGGGCCGCAACCTGCCCCCCGAGCCTCTCCGCCCCCCCCGCCTCGCGGAGGGTCCGAAGCTCGCAGTTCCAGTCTCCGCCGGCAAGAAGGGAAGGCCCAGCGAGTGGAGCGCTTCGCTTGACCCGCTCAGGATGAAAGACCCATGACCCCCCAGGGGGTCTCCCCGGGGGAGGTGGGCGCCGCCGCCAATGACCCCCAGGGACAAACGCAGTGACCCAAGTTAGAATGCATCTGCGGAGGGCGGGAAGGGCCCCGGAGGCGGGGGGGGCGCGGCCCATCCCGATATGATTTCGAAGCGCGATTCCAACGCCGCAAGACAACCCTCCAGCGTCCGTCGCGATGGACGGGCACAGGCATGCCGACCGCCCCTGCTTCCCGAGCGCGGCCCCCGCCCCCGCCTTCTCGGACGGCTTGAGGGTCAGCTCTTGGAGGCGTATTATCGACGCCTCTGTCTTCGCTTCCAGATATCGCTTCAGTGAGCCGAGCGCGGAGCAGTTGCAAGTCTCAATGCGGAGCGATCTGCGGTTGCCCTCCTTCTTCGCGCCTCTGGTGGCTGAGGGGGCGGGGGGGGGGGGGCGGCCTGGGAAAATGGCGGAGAGCTGGCGTTCTGGTTGAGACTGGACGTCGGGTTCGCTGCCGCCCGATCCGCCCATGATGCGCGGCTGGATTGAAACTCCGAGTTCGGCCATGACAGATTGGGCCCGATGCTTCTGGGGGGCCCGTTGCGAAGCCGCGCCCTGCCCGCAGCGACGAGGGGCGGGCCGTCTGCGAGCCCAGCCGTCGGGACCTGGGGCCCAGAGAAGCTTAACATCGCACCGTCGCAGTCCGCGCCCAGTTGGCCGCGCGGGCTGCTGACTCCAAGCTCGCTGCTACACGGAGCGGCACAGGCCGTGGCGTCGCCCGCGCGACGGGCAGGGCATCGCCCGCTTAGAAGCCGCGTCCGCCACCGATCGACAAGGCGCGCGGTCCCACCCCGCGAGGTCCTCGGGGGGCCCTGGGAACCTGGGTCCGCTCGTAAATCGAATTCAGCTGAAACAACCTTTCTCGGCCCACTGAGGTCATCGCCCACGTTCCTCAGCCCTGCCCCCCCTGGCCGATCAACACTTGGGATCGCGATCGCAGGGGGGGGGGGGGGGGCAGAGGCGCCTGCAGCCGCCGCGGCCCGCGTCGCCCTCGCGTAAGTTACCGTCGCCGTCGTCGGCGAAGAAGTAAAGGAAGTCGTTCGAATAAAGGTAGCGCCCCCCCCCCCCCCCCGTCGGCATCCTCGAAGCCCAGGCAGTCAGACTCCGTCGCGGCCCGCGGGGGGGCGTCGACCCTCGTCATCACCCGCCCCTGCGCCCGCCCCGCCTGGCGAGGCGGTCTTGCCCCCGAGAGCTCGCGCAGAGCGGGCGCGACCATCGGCTGCAAATGATGCCTTCGGCTTGCCTGCTGCCTTAGCCGAAAGTACTCCTTGTGCCGCCGCACCTGGGGTAGCTGCCTCTTCACATGGCCCTCCCAGGTGCGCGGGTAGGAAGGCGATGGCCGCGTCGTGGTCGGGGAAAATGCGAGGCCCGTCGGCAGGCTCGTCGGCAGCGTCCGCTCCTGGGCCCGCCTGTCTAGCTTCAGCTCATCCAGCAGATTCGGCGGGTTCTTCTCGCCGAACTCGTTTGCGCCCAAGCCGCTGCACATGCGCCGCGTGCTCGGCCTTGGTGCTCTCCACCTTCTCCATTGCAGACTGAACAGACATCCGGTGGCAGCCTGCATCTGCTGTCGGAGCTGTTCCTTCCTAGGGCCCATCTCGCGACGGTCCTCAGGTGCAAGCTCCAACCCATCTCCAACCTTGAAGAAGCCCTAAGTCAATGAGGCTAGTGACGCCCTTGCGCCCATCCACCACTTCAGCGAGAGGGACCTTGGTGGTGGGAGGCTCTTTAGCCCCTGGCTCGCCGACGCCCTTGGCCACCGCCCCCGCAACTTCCGACGCGATCTCGGGGTGCTCCGCGTCGGCCTCTTGGAAGGCGGCCTCGCGGTTCCGCGCGCAAGACATCTCAGCGACAACCCAGCCCTGGTACTACTCCCGCCTGTCCACTTCGGAGCTAAGCATCTCCACGAGTCTATGGATGCGCCCGCGGCAGCGTTGCGCACGCTCTTGAGCTTAGAGGCCGGGTCAACGCCGTAGTTCGTCCAACTGTTCCTTGTATTTGACTGCCGTGGCCACGTCGACCATCCGCTCGGCCATGTTGACGAATGACTCGGCCTCTTCGGCAGATGGCCCTGATGCGAGAGGCCTGCCGCTCGGCCCGACCAGCGGGAGGGGCGGGACTCCTCCCTGCGCCGAAAAAGTTCGGCGCGCGGCTCCTCGTGACCCTTTGCGGTCATGGCTGCCAGCATGAACGGGAAGAACGAGAGCCGTAACATCATATAGAAATTCCGTTCCCCAGTCCTGGCAGTGCTTGCAGTAGGTGAACGAGGCAATTTTCTTCTTGCGCCCGCAGAGGGCACACTGCCATCGCCTGCCTGGTGCCTCCCGACCAGCTCCTGGTTCCCGGGGCCCGCGGGATGGGGTACGCTGAGGGGGCGGCGGGCCCCGTCCTCCTTTGCGTCCACGTCCTCGGCCTCATGTACCACCTTGTCCACTGCCTGTCTCTCCCCACGCTTCTTCCTGTCGCCAAGGATAGCTCCGCCAATGCAGTGCCGAAGAGGAAGGATGGTTGTACAAGTCTTCTGGTGCCGTCCAGAGGCGGAACACCAACAGCACACGGAACTGTATGGAAGGGCGCGCTCGCGCCAGAAACTGATATGGAAGAGGAGGCCCCTGTCCTGGGGCGCATCCAGGGCCTCTCAAGGGGGCCAGTCATCCTGGACCAGCCTTGAGACATGTATTACTTGAACCAACACGGCTACGGACTCCTCCTCCTCTTCATCCTCCTCCTCCTCCTCCTCCTCCTCCTCCTCTTCCTCATCCTCCTCCTCCTTCAAGGCACCTTGCATCCCTGCCGCGGAGGTTGGCCCCTTCCCCTCGGACGTCGTTGTCGAGGTCCCTGGGCCTGTCTCGGTTTCGGGTGCGGTCTTGCATCCCTCTCACAAGCTGGCGTTGTGGGATGTGAACAGCTTGTGCGATTGCCAGGTTTGTGGCCGAACGGCTACTTCTGACGGGCGCCAGCTGGGTCCCGAATTCCAAGCGCCCTCGAAGAAACGGCTATGAACACCTGGGCCGTTTTCGCCGTGGTATGTACCCGAGCTATGCAAGACCGTCCAAATCGAATTCTTTGCACCGCCACGCTCGCATTGCAGCCGTGGCCGATCAGCAGGCACGAGCGCGTGGGTGTGCCGTTTGAGGCACGTGCGCTCATTGCTTGCTGCGCTCTCCCTCCTCCCTGTCCCGTTCTCTCCTGCACGACGTTGCTTGCCAAACCGCCCCAAAACGTCGTCGTCGTCGTCCTCCTCCTCCTCCTCCTCTTCCTCCTCCTCCTCCTCCTCCTCCTCCTCCTCATCCCCTCCTCCTCCTCCTCTTCCTCCTGTTTTCCCTCCTCCTCATCCTCCTCTTCCTCCTCCTCTTCTGTCTCCAATCCTGCTCGTCCTCCTCTTCATCCTCCTGCTCCTCCTCCTCCTCCTCCTCCTCTTCCCCCATCCCCCCTGCTGCTACTCTCCGCTTTTCCTCCTCCTCCTCCCCCTTCTCCTCCTCCACATCATCATCCTGCTCTTTCTCCTCTTCCTCCTCCTCCCTATTCCCCCGTGCTCCTGCTCCTCCTCCTCCTCGTCCTCCTCCTCCTCCTCCTCCTCCCCTTCTTTCCCCCTCCCCCTGATGCTCCCCCCTCCTCCTTCTCCTCCGCCTCCTCCTCCTCCTCCGTCCTCATCCTGGTACTCCTCTTCCTCCTCCTCATCCTCCTCCTCCTCCTCCTCCTCCTTCTTCTCCTCCTCCTCCTCTCCCCCCTCCCCTATTGCTACTCACCTTGAGTTCCTCCGCCTCTTCCTCCTCCTCTTCCTCCTTCGCATTCGCCTCCTCCTCCTCCTCCTCCTCCTCCTCCTCTCCTCCTCCTCGTCCTTCCCTCCTCCTCCTCCTTTTCCTCCTCCTTCTCCTCCTCCTTCTCCTCCTCCTCCTCTTTCTCCTCCTCCTCCTCGTCCCGTCCTCTCCTCTCCTCCTCCTTCCTCTCTTCCCCCTCCTCCTCCTCCTCCTCCTCCTCCTCCTCCTCCTTCTCCTCCTCCTGCTCCAACTCCTCCTCTCTACTACAAGCTCCTCCATTATCCCCCTGCTGCTGCCCCACCTTTCCTCCTCGCCCTCGCTCCTCGCCCATCCTTCCCTCCTCCTCGTCCTCCTCCTCCTGCCCTCCTGATCCCACTCCACTCTTATTCCTCCTCCTCCTCCTCCTCCTCCTCCTCCTCCTCCTCCTCCTCCTCCTCCTCCTCCTCTCTCCTACTGCAGTGCTCCTCCTCTCCTCCTCCTCCTCCTCTTGCTCCTCCTTTCCCCCTTCCCCCTTCCCCTCCTCCTCCTCCTCCTCCTCCTCCTCCTCCTCCTCCTCCTCCTCCTCCTCCTCCTCCTCCTCCTCCTCACGCTCCTACTTCGGCTTCATCACACGAGCGTCTCGTGAGTTGGCGCCAGCCCGAGCCTAATTCAGGCAATCCTCCACCTTCACCTGGGTCTCGCAGCCTGCCGCCACGACGTCGTCCGCCGACGGGCACGGAAACGTGCGGTGGCCAGAGGACTCGGTGCGTCCGCAGCACTGGTTGCCCGCACACATGTTGCCCGCCCCTGGACACCTGACCCCCTGGCCAGCGAAGCACGACGCCGCTGGCGCTGGCGCCGGGGTTGGCACCGGCGCGGGCTTGCTCTTCTTCTTCTTGGCGATCGCCAGCTGCTCCTTGTTAGGCGTGGCATCGAACGCCGTCACGTACTTCTGCAAGAAGGGCGTGCCTAAGAGCGCCCCGTAGCCCGGGGGCACGAGATCGACAAGCACCAGCACGCAGGACCCAATCGGCAAGTTAGGCGGCGCGTGATTCATCGAAAACACATTATCAATCAGCGCGGGATCGTCTATCGCCATGTCGCCCGCATCGATCGTCCAAGTCTGCCCCCCGGCTGTGAAGGAGAGCGACGGCACTTTATCCAAGTCGGAACAGGGAACGACGACAACGCTCACCGACGTGCCCTCGAGGGGTACTAGAAGAATATCTGACCCGACAGCACGGCTTGTGAGGGCTCGCCACTCATCATGAATATCCTTTTCTATGGCAATGACGCTGGCGCCGCTGTCCAAAATCGCTACCGCCGTCCGGTCGAGCCTGGTGTCCCCAATGGCAAAAGAATTGACGGAGAACGACCAAAATCCAAACACGTTCTGGAAGGGGTAGTTTGGTGCCCCTAGAGGAACAAAGAACGGCACAAACATAGACTTTCGGAAGTCCGCGCGGATTTCTTGGATCTGCGCCGTAGCCCCTGCCTGGCGCCGGACCCCCCTCCCTGGCGGCGGCGGACGCGCCGCCAGGGGGCTCCAACGCAGATCCAAGAAATCTTCCTGGACCGTCGCCAGTTTATGTTTATGAAGTTTTTTCTTCTTCGATCTCCAGCATCTGGCGAGATGGGCTTCACGACAGGCGTCCAGAAGAACTCCGCGTCGATCTGGCTAGAGTCAACTCTGCCGAGGATCAGCTCGCCATCGTCATCTCCTCCGTGCAAAGATAGCGTGAAAACCGGGGAATCGATAACATCCTGTTTCCACATCATGATTACGGTTGACATCTCCCAGATATTCACAGACGGATCGGTCCTCCCTTCGTTCAGGTACGCCAGCCCGAGGCCCATGAGTCCTTCCATTGGGCTTCCGAAGAAGCCACTGAATTGGTACAGCAGATCGGCACCACCCATGATGATTTCGAAACCTGGAAGATCCCCGACCTGGACCTTTTCCACATACGCGGCTCCCGTGACGTTCCCGACGCCATATGTCGAAGTGAAATTTGTCAACGGTTTGGCCGAGAACTCGTGGCCTGGCTTCCCTTTCGCCTGGCAAGTGGCACAAACGCCCTGCACCGAGCAACAGGTCGCAGATGTGGTAGGAACCCACAGGGGCCCCGAGCCCAGATCGATGTTGACGGGCACCTCTCTCGCGTCGCTGCCTAGCGAGATGTTCACGAGCAAGATACCGCCTCCAAAGAAGCCCGTCACCGCCACCCGCTCTGAGGATCTCGGAGATTGAGCGCCAGAGGCACGCACGCGGCTGATGCGCAAGCGCTGGAACTTCTTGGAAGAGGACTGCCTCGCAAGGTTGTGCGGCTCCGGGTTGCGCGCCGACAGCCCCCCCCTCCCAGGTGCTCCGGGCTGGCCTCGATTGGCTCCCCGAGCTGTCCCAGATGGTCTCAACAAGCCCCCCGAGAAGCCCAAGGCGGTCTCAACACCCTGGCGCCTCCTCCGGAGGCGCCCCTGGGGGGCTCCGCGCGCCAGTGTTGAGATGTTGAGTTCCGCCCCAGACTACTCGGGAGGCCTTGTGAGAGCATCCAGAACTACCTGGGGGGGCTGTCTGTGCGCAACCCGAAGCCTCACCATTCCCAAACCTTTGGTGGCTCCACCTTTGCGGGTTTCTGGACACGGGGTCGATACGTTTTCCCAACCATCCTGTGGTGTTGGGTTGTTGGGTCCTCGTTTTGACGCGCATCGCCCCGCGTATCCCATTCCTCCCTCCTCCTCCTCCTCCTCCCTCCTCCTCCTCATCCTTCCTCCCTCCCTCCTCCCCGTCCCTGCCTCTGCCCTCCACGCGCCAGTTCCTGCACACCGCTCACACGTTTGGTGGCCCCACAGGGAGCTGGACCGAAGGCCCGGGGCATCGTCCACACGTGGGCGCCACACCCGTGTCGGCACACCCTGCACACATGTCGTGGCCCTACAAGGAGCTCCAACGCGAAGGCCCCAGAGGCACCGTTCACACGCGAGCGTCTCGCCCGTCTCGTCACACCCCTTGCGCGTCTCGTGGCTCCATAGGGAGCTCCACCAGAGGCCCCAAAGGCGCCGTCCACGGGGGCGTCACACCCGTTTTGGCACACCGCTCACGCGCATTTCGTGTCGCCCTAGGGACCTTCACCGAAGGCCCAAGAAGCACCGCCCACACATGTGGGCGTCAAACCCGTTTCGGCAAACCCCTCGCAAGCTTCGTGGCCCCATAAGGAGCTTCACCGAAAGCAACAGTGGCAGACCACATGTGGGCGTCACGCCCCTTCGGCACGCTCCTGACACGTTTCGTGTCCCCGTAAGGAGGGCTTCACCGAAGGCCTCAGCAGCACCGTCCACGTGTGGGCTCCACACCCGTCTCGGCACACCCTTCACACGTTTCGAGACCCCGTGGGGATCTCCACCAAAGGCCCCCGCAAGGCACCGCCGACGCGTGGGCGCCAGACCAACTTCTCACACCCCTCACACGCCTCGCAGCACCATGGGAGATCCACCGGCGGCCATACCCACAACGGCGGTACTCACAACTGCAGACGGTTGGGTCCTTCACCACGGTTAAACTGCTTTGAAGCAAAATCCGCCTGCCAGCCTTGCATACCGCGCCCGCCGGGCCCAAAGAATCGTGGAGACTCCCTGGGGCCCCCGAGACGTTCGGGCGTCACGACGTCCACTGAGATCTAGAGCACGTGTCAAGAACAGACGTCGAGGACAGACGTCAGGAACAGACGTCAAGAACGGAAAGTCACAGCAAACGCGACTAAACATTCATTGCGGACATACATCTGGGGAAACGAATACATACCTATACTGCTACTCCTTGGACCTCTCCGGGAATGAGTTATGACCAAAACTTCGAGGCGAACCCAACTATGGCGAAATCGATGCAAACGTACCGGTATCAGTAAACGCCGGTCGGAAGAAGTAGGTAAAACCATGAAGTAGGAAGGCGTATCAAGTAGATTGGGTTCAGGACCTCCCGGAGAATAACCAACCGCAGAAACAAAAAACGCATCGGCTCTTGAGGTAGGAGGGCGCTTGAAGTAGACTGGGATCAGGGAAGCCAGAAATACCTACTTTCAACGACCGGCGTGTACATTCCCCTCCCCCGACATCGGGACCGGAAAAGACGGGGGTGTCCAAGAGGGGGGGGCGCAAATCATGACCGACGGCATGTGCGCGGCCCAGCGGGGGGGCCATGGACGTAATGAAATAAGAAGAGGCGCCATGAAATCTGGGGAAATATCATGACCCCCGCCATGATATCCACCCCCCCCTAGTCATCACCCCCCTCTTTTCCGCCCCCGACGACACCAAGGACACACATCGATGACAAGGGTCACGCACTCACGCAACCCCGATGCGGGCTGGGAGCGCCGCGCCTTGGCGCTCGGGCGCGGCGCGCGCCCGAGCGCCGTCGAGCCACGCGTCGCGGGAGGGCCCGACGAGGAGGCTCGGAGCAGCAGGGGGAGAGGAAAAGTAAGGTCGGGCCTGTCCCCCTAGAGGGGGATTTTGGACGAAAAATTAAAAAATACCCCAAAAGCATCCCAAACATGTCCAAAAATAGTCAAAAATTTGTCCCCAGCCTATTTTTTGACTATGTCTGAGTACTCCTGCTGTAGAGGGACAGGCCCGACTTAAAGGAAAGGGGGGGGAGGAGGACAAAAAAAGAACAGGACTACGAGGAGATGGAAGAGGATGCGGAAGAGGAGGAGGGGCACTCCGGAACACATTTCCGCCAAGGCTACAGGACAGAGCACCTGCAGCATGGGTCCACGATGAACCGGTGGAAGGGCAAGGCATCCGCATCTGATAGGCGCCCCGTTCGGCACGGACACTCAGTACAGATTTACGCTTAGCGACGCGCAGGCTGAGGAGAAGGCGAAGCTGTTGAACATCATTCCCGCGCTCCCTTCTTTGCATTGTGCGTGGCTCCTCTTGTAATGATTTCTGCGGCCACCCACGGCTGAGCCACCTGCTACGGACCGCGACGCTGGCGCAGTCTTCCACCGCAGCTGTAACGCGCACGACTCCCACGCCATCGACAGCCTCCGACGCCTCTCTGCGATCCCGGGACCCGGTACATAAAATAGTGCAGTACATGGCACACCGTATTAGACGCGGGTCCAGCAAGCAAAGCTTCTGCCGCATCTGGCGGGGCTCGGCTTGAGAGGTTCCCAGCGTCTCGCCCCGCTGCGTAGTGGGCGACCTGGGTACATTCGTTGCTGAGATTAATCAACGGTTTCCCGGCCGTGGGAGGGGACATTTGAAGGGGAACTGCCAGTTCCCCTTCAAATGTCCAGTTACTTGTGTCTATTTATTTGTGTGTCCCAGGGACACACAAATAAATAGACACAAGTAACCAGATTCCCCACATCTTCCCATGTTTTCTCGGTTTTGTCTTCCCCCCACTTCCCATAGTGTTCCACATTTTCCTGGGAATCGACGATTAATTGTGTCTGTGCTTTTTCCCTCCTAAACATGCTCCGTCATCTTCGAGAGCTGGCCAGATCGCGTCCGAAGAATTTCTCCGACGACCCCCGCGTGCCTTGCGGCAACCGAGGCAGCAAGGCGCCAGTGCTACTACGACCACTACTACTACTACTACTACTACTACTACTACTACTACTACTACTACTACTACTACTACTACTACTACTACTACTACTACTACTACTACTACTACTACTACTACTACTACTACTACTACTACTACTACTACTACTACTACTACTACTACTACTACTACTACTACTACTACTACTACTACTACTACTACTACTACTACTACTACTACTACTACTACTACTACTACTACTACTACTACTACTACTACTACTACTACTACTACTACTACTACTACTACTACTACTACTACTACTACTACTACTACTACTACTACTACTACGACTAAGACTACTACTACTACTACTACTACTACTACTACTACTA